GGAAACCCCCGGTAAAAAAAAAAAAAAAAAAAAAAAAAAGCCTTTAGTCCCATTAAACACATTCCTTCATAGGTAATGAACGATCACATGAGCTGAAAAGCTGGAATCAGATTTACCAGGAGCATACTAATATGTGGGTAGGGGAGGAAAATGGGCAAAGGGGCAGAGATCAGGTACCGCAAACGCAGTAATGCTTACTAGTAGTCCGAACATTATGCAAGCAGCAGCGGTAGCCATCAGGGTTTAAAATGTGTTGTAAACCTCCGTATGCATAGCAGTGGTGGGGGATCACAAGTATGTTTCTAACAATCCTTTAATGGGTAGGTGTTTCAAATTCAGTAAGCATTAAAAGCTTTTTGAAACCCAAAAACTAAAAATGTAATACAAGGCAGGTTACCCTCCTTAAAAAGGTGGTAGGAGTGTTAGTTTTTTGTTAGGCCTCATTCACACGGGTAACGGCCGGCCCGTACGGATCCTGCTGCGTGCACGACTTTAATTTGTTTGCCAAGTTCATCTAAATCTGCTTGTACATCTAACACTGCCCTCCTAGGCCCGGAAGTGTGTCACTGGCTTGATCATGAGGTGAAAGTAAGCCTCATTCACACGAGAAACGGGCGGCTCCGTGCACGACCGTATGGGGCCGCTCCCGGGAAGGGCAGGTGCTGCGTGTGATTATACACAGCAGCCTGTCCTTCTCTATGGGAGTACATGGCCTTATGCCCTCCTACGGTCACCTGAACTGCACGTCCATGCGGGTGTCTGTACTCGTACGCTGACAGGCTGGATCCTTCTGCGTCCGAGCAGGGACAACCGCACCTGTATGGACGTGCAGTTCGCTGGACCGTAGGGCGGCGTACTCCCATAGAGAAGGACAGGCTGCTGCGTATAATCACACACAGAACCTGTCCTTCTCGGGAGCGGCCCGATACAGCCATGCACGTAGCACGGATCTGTACGGTCCGCCCGTTTCTCGTGTGAATGAGGGCTTACTTTCACCTCATGATCAAGTCAGTGACACACTTCCGGGCCTAGGAGTGCAGTGTTAGATGTACAAGCAGATTTAGATCAACTTGGCAAGCAAATTAAAGCCAAATTGCAGTTAACACTCATTAGGCATTTACAGCAACAGTTTATCTTCCTTTTGGGATAAAGGCTTTAAATAAAAGCCGGCCATTGAATGCATCCTTGTCAGTGTTTAATGGTTTGCCTCAACGCTCTACCTGCTTTTTTAGCTGGACAGCTTGGCTTATTAAAGAAAGTTGACTAGACCACCAGGTGAAAATAAAGTAAAAAAGCCTAAAAAGAGAAAACAAATGCAGCCACGTGTACGGATTGGTAAGCTGCAACATATTAAATGTTTGCTTTTAGGTTTAGATACGCTTTAACCATTTGTCTGTAATGAATCTTTAACCCTGAATGCAGGTACTCCACAAGGAAGCATGCGATGGCTCATTTTGCAGCTGGAGAAATATATATTTTAACATATAAAATGATTACATAAGTAATGCATTATACAATGGCTGTGTAAAGTATACCTTGTTCCTCATCTCTTGCACTTCCTTGGGATTTGTGTTCATTGGGACAAACAGATTAGGGACAGTAGAGGTGGCAGTTCTCAGCCCATCCTCTTTAGTCCACTGCAAGATGAAGAGCAATTACACGGTCAGGTTAGAATTTCCACAGTGCCGACACATTTATACAGTATAGTCATGCATTTCACAAGTTTACCAGGGAAATGAACCAATAAATATGCTGCAACTGGAAACTTGCACAGCCAGTGAACTGTCAAAACAGGAAACAGACTGAACGGTTATTTATACTGGAAAGCTGTCAGTGCTGGGTGAGTGCTCACGTTCTGGTCCCAGGGCACTGGGTGGGTCCCTGTGACAAACCCAGCCCGGGCCAATCCTTCACTTTACTAGCAGATTTTAGTAGGAAATATTCCAGCTACTGAGGAAAAACATCATCATACAATATGAATATTTTTCCTGAACTGGATGGGTTTCAAGCTTTTGGACCTAGTAGTAGTTGTCTACTTGAAGATGCCCTTTACCAAAACAGGGCCACATCACAAAGATGCAATATTTAACAGAATTCAGAGGGCTACGTGCAACTAGTGTGGGCTGCCAAGAGCCGTGTCATTGTTTACGTCCCTCATGAACAGGCACTGATGTTGGCATTTCCCCAAAAATATGCAAGTAGAACACTCTATACAACGTTTTGGGGTCTCACAGGATTCCCTTCATCAGGCAAACAAGTGTCCATCCTTTACTAAGGAAATCTTGACAGGCACATGTGTTGCCATTTCCCCAAAAATATGGGCCATCTGTGGATACAGAGAGAGCAATGTATCAAAACTGGAGCAGCTGTGCATGACAACAAATCAGCTTTTTCCTTTCATTTTTAAATCTTAACTGAACATGCTGAAGAGAGAAGCTGATTGGCTGCCATGCGCAGCTGCTCCAGGTTTGTGAAATCTCCCCCAGAGTGTCTGCAGACACCTCTTATTCTCAGGAGGAGATGCCAGGACATGCATGCCATAGGGAAGAGAAGTGCCACCAAGGACATAAATTCTGCAACACAGTGTGGGCTGTCAGGTACATGAAGTCTGTAAAATACGACATATTTGTTACTAGGTGGGTTAGGCTATTATAGTAAAATATACTTTTTTTTATATATAGTAACAACCATAGGGGTTTAATTCCAAGATTGAAGTGGCAGGCTATTTCAATTTACTGTAGAAAGATCTCACTTTCTGGCATGGTCATATTACTTGAGCCCCTATTTAATGAAGTGAAGAGAATCTTCATAGCAAATCAGTATATTCATGCTTTAATGGTCTTTGCATCCGAGTTGGAGATCTAATCCAATGAAGCACACACCAGGGTGGTCTTGTGTTTATTGTTTTACAGCATTACTGAGGTCTTCTGTAGAATAAAAGAGTAATAGGACTGTTCATACAGAAGTATGAAAATGCCTGTTTAACACCTACAGTATGTCAAGTGTCCTTCAAGCCATGTTATAGGTCGCTTATGTTCTAGCGTTAATCAAACCAGTTGTAAGCATTTCATTGATTCGTTCCCCTGATTAGGAAAAGAAGACAAAAATGAGAAGCATAAAAATGATCAGGCTGCAGAACACAATACAAAGTCACTCACCAGATTCTGACCCTTTTTGCATGGATGGTCCCTGGAGATACTGAAATTCATTATCTCACAGGACCTCTATGAGTCAAAAAGGGTCCTGTACCATGATTGTGTTTAGCGAGTGGGCATCACCAAAGTTTGTATAGAAAAGAAACAAAGAAGCTACAAAAAAAAACAAAAAACAGCATGGGATACTTCATCTTTCACAGGAAAAAAAAAACAAAAACCAGCCAAATTAGAGCAACTGAAATATTGTCAAAGGATTTGCGTTGGCACCTAAAGAAATAAATAAAAGCAGATGGAGGGAATGGGAGTTCGGGGAGGAAAAAGAAAAAAAATCTAAAATAAAAAGCAGCAGCAGTCAATGGAAAACAGAATGATCAGTGAAATCTCTATCACTCCAATTCCAACCTTAGCTGATGGTTTAAGGCAGACGCTCAGAATTCTACAGTCAACCTCTTGGGTAGGGCTAGACTTGTATCTCACAAATGTGGAATACAATGGCTAATCTCTGTATACAAGGCAACTATAGTCTGCCAATAGATTTTACAGTGCTAATGATGTTATTCCATCAATTTTTTTTATCTGTGCTAAAAGAGTAACTTCTTTTTATTATTATCGATGCATTTTAAATTCCCAGAGACAGAAATCCAATCCTGGTGTAAGTATAGCTATCCCATGGGACTTCAAGGACTACTATTGTACTCTTGTGGCATAGCTATGAACAATCCTATTTTAAACATGGCCCATAATCATTCGGGGGCAGCAAAGTCCTTACTTATAACTACCATTTCTACTGATCAAAGTAAAATTAAAATTCTGACAGTCACAGGTGGTACATAATAACTGGGAATAAATTATGTGGGCAGCAGAGTTTGTTGCACCTAACAAATGTGTACTCCTATTAAAGACACTAAACTCAGGAGCTAAATCCTAGAAATGCATTCCAGTATCTTAACTATTAACAATACTGGATCTTATTTGTGTATCACTGGGCTGTAGATCCTCCAATCATCTCTGAATTGGTGCTGACACCGTCCTTCTTTCTGGAGGGGGGCTACTTTTGTTCCCCATGGTCCATGTGTGTGTTGTAAAGTAACCACCACTCCAAGCTCGCTCCTGTGATGGACTACAATCTCAATACAAAATGAGTAAAACAAACATTAGGATTGTAGTCCATCATGTGAGGGAGCTTGGAGCAGTGACTACTTTACAACACACACAGGGACCATGGGGAACAGAAGTAGCCACCCCCCAGAAGGAAGGACAGCGTCAGCAACAATTCAGAGATGATTTGAGGATCTACAGACGAGTGATACACAAATAAGATACATTTTTGGTAATAGTTAGGGTAGTTGAATGCATTTTAAAAGGTTTAACTCCTGAGATTAGGGTCACTTTAAACTTGATAAAGTAACACTAGAATGCAACAGTAAACACCTCTGGGGACCTGCAAGTCCGATTCTTTTTGAGCATCCTGGAAGCCCCAAATCTCAGGCACTTTGTTCTGCAATGCAAACTGCAATCAGCGCCTGCTGTCATTTGGCCCTTACACACTGATGTCTCTCAATTTAAAGGGAAGCATCAATGGCAGAGGGAGAGGCACAGAATGGGCAGGGCCAGGCTTTTGAGCACCGCGGATTCAGAGCTACAACAAAACTCAAACAGAAAGACAAACCAATGCAGATAACTGCAAGTGCCTGCGAATACACACCCAGTGGAACATGATCAAGTTTAATACAAGTACAGGTCTGTTCTAAAATGTAACCTCACCATTATATGAGTTTTTATTGAGAAATGCCAAATACATGCACTAGCATTTTCACCAGTATAAAGACTAGAGTACACAGGTACTTGCGATCAAAGATCAGTCTGCACTTTGATTTTATTGCTTCACAAAAATGTATGTGAATGTATGTTAAATCGCAAGTAAATTTTATATGATTGTGTACACAAGCCCCAATTGCATTTCCCATTTGTATCCTTCAGCTGCTAATAGATTCAGAGTTAGTGTACACAGGCATTTGAGATGAGTTTGCCAAACAAAAGCAAAGTAGGAAAGAAAACAAGGAGTGGGCATCTGTAGGAATCTGAATCTCCACCCTGAAGCTGTTATATCAGCAAAGCCTTATCTCCCAAGTATGTGTGTGAACTTCAAATGACTTGTGTACTCCTTCTGTCATGGAAGAAATGTTAGCCCAGTATCAGGCTGTAAGGTCCTGAGGGAAACTAACCTATCTGCTGCCCACAATTAGGACTGATAACTTATTCAAGAACAACTGAAGAAGTCAATGGGATCAGCCTGACAACCAGAGAAGGGAAATTGTATTTTCAATAAGGGGATCAGCAACGGTAGTCTCCAAACTTCCTCGTTACAGGTTTCCTTTACCGGACCTCATAAGCCTGTCTATGCTAGCCCTGCACATGATGTCCCGTTTTGCATGCTAAGAATCCTAGATTTCCCCTACCCCTAGAACAGGGGTGGTCAAACTTCAGTCCTCCAGCTGTGGTGAAACTACAAATCCTATTAGGCATTGCAAGACGACAGCCACAGGCAGATGCATATGTAGTTTCACCACAGCTGGAGAGCCAACGTTACCCCTGCTCTAAAAGCTTGCAATTTATTTGAGAAAAAAAAAAAGACAAAGCGCTTTTCTACTCATGGATTTAATCTGATCAGTAACCATGTGATCACACTTCTGTGCCCTTTCCCTTCAGATCATGCACACTGACGTATTTACATATTCTGAAGAAACACTTTAAAACAAGCCCTCATACACCTCTGTATCTATAGACGTTGTGGAGAAATTAACATTCGAAGTTCACAACAGAGGCTTGGTGTTTTTCTATGAGAACAGAATCTTGGCAGGCCTCTAACGTAATCTCACAGCTGGTGTTTCTAGACTGTTCGGAACCAACTGAAAATGATTGTTGTGATCTTTGAGAATAAATAACTTCACATTAAAAGCAGCTAGGGAGGCGACTGATGCCTTGTTTTAAACACTCTTTTACTATGTATTAAGAATATGTAATTAGTTTGATGTCAAATAGTCTGGACACAGGTGCACTTTAAAGAGGAATCCCAGGCAAAACGTATTTTTCAGTTTTGGGTATAGTACTGAAGGGTTAGAACTCTCGGGTTTTTGTTGCAGCCTATGTGTTTGGGAGACTACCTCTTACTTCTTGTTGAGCCAAGAGGAGACAAAAACCACAATAAATATCTGATAGAGGTTCTAACAAAAAGGTAAAGAAAACGCCAAAGAGAGGTTCTAACCACTCCCCAATCTATCCAAAATCAAACCAAAAAAGCTTCTGGACGGGCTGCCACATCAAAACAAACATTGCAAGGATTCCAAATTTTATTAACCAACAGTAATTGGAGACACTCTAAGCCAAGTGCAAATTCTTTTCCTAAGCTATAAATCCTCTTCTGTGAGCCTGGGGAGCTTTGTACCCAGGAGCACACCATCATTGTGGCCCTGTCATCTTGAGGCGAGGTGAGGCCCTTCCACTATGCAATGAGAGGGCGTCAGCGGCCAACAACAGTGGGATGGCGGTGGTGGTCGTCAGCAGAGACAGACCTGCCTGTGACACACCATGTGACAAATGACCAGAATCTTACAGTTACACATCTGGAAAATCTAGGGGTATTAGATACTTCAAAACGATTGGGGAGTATTGCCCTGTAGCCAAAACTATTCCTAATAACAAGAAAAATAAAAAAATATCTGCAAAAGGGAGAAAGTAGAAAAGGAAAACTTTGCAGTTCTGGATCCAAAAGGAAAGACATGATGAATAAGCAGTTAGTTTATACTCACTTGTGATCTTCACAAAATTATTACTGGATCTTACGTTACGATTGTATAAAAAGGGTAAACAAACAAACAGACCAATAAATAAAGACGCACAGTTTGAAATCTGATGTTACTTGGTGACTGGTATGCCAAGACCTCTGCAGAGAAATGTTACTCAGGACACGTTTTCACAAAGGACTGGAAAGACTACAAAACACACAAACTGCTCTATTTTCTGGACTGCGCATGTCCAACTGCACACAGAGGTTCACATATGTCACTGCTTCCTTAAAATGACCCATGTCATTCCCTCTGGTTATCCCCTCTCACCATACCTGTGCACCAAGGCTGTTGTAAGAGCTTTATGGCTTCCTCTCTCATGTCACATCTTTTTAGCAATCCCCAGGTAGCAGTTGTGAATACCTGTGTGCAGTGGCAGCCGTCATAGTTTAGTACAGCGCTGCCCACAGCAGATTGCACGTGTCTCATGGAGAAATAGGCGACACACAGTAAAATGAATGGGGAATTACCTCTTCGCCCATTCACTAATTCCCCCCACCCCCAAACAATTAGTATTTCAAGCCAATCACAAATAAAAAGGGACACGGTCACTGTATCCAAACAGAACCAAACATCACCTTTGAAAATCTAAATTTTCACTCTGAGTTTTCCTAGCTGCTATGTAGATATTGATAGAGAACTTACAACAGCCACTATGCAGCGGTACTATTAGATGGGAGAGCAAAAGAAATGTAAAGGTTCACATTAAATTAAATGCTTTGTATAAGTTAAGGCCAGCAGAGCAGACGCATCCCGACAAAACATGCAAAAGTCTCCCTGCAGAGCTGTATCACGCTGAAGCTAGTATAACAAACTTGAGGAGGAAAAGCATTTAAAAAAAAAACAAAAAAAAACCACACCAAACAAAATCAGACACCTCAGTGTACAGCGCCATGACAGATTTCCTCAGTACTGGAATCCCAGGGCCATTTAAGAGATTCAAACAAGATCAACTTGGGTGGACAAACCCTTTAAGTTAAATACATTTGTCAAAACTGTAACAGTAAACCTTTTGCTATTTTACAAGTAATCACTATAGAAAAGGGTTTTGTGCTAAAGGATCAGTCCCCCCTACACGGATACTTGAGTATGTGGAAGATTCTGTAGATGCATTTACTGCTTTAACTTTCTCAGGACTGTAGTGGAAAATCCTTGGTTCTTGATTTTTGGGTGGACTGCCCCTTTCATAAGCAAAATCAACCTGAAATTATAAGTGCAAAGCTAAAGCGGAAGCATAGGGCAAACTGATCACATTTCACCGTGACGTGAAGGGTTTCAGATAACAAGGAAGCTAAACAAAGCCTTAAGTCTGACAAATACATAAAACACACAAGCAATGAGCAAGCTATGATCTTATAACTGCAATTCAAGAAACATCACCTACATAGTACTACTTTAACTTCAACGGCCCAGGATTATTGACAATATTATGTACAGTTTCAGCATTGCTGTTTAGATGACACTGGACAGACAGGCAGACAGTAAAGAATTGTAAGACAGGTTTTCTTACGGCAGTATCTATCGGTAAGTGCCGGCTGAGGGCCTGGGCTACACTTTAGTTATGCCGCACCCAGCTTATACCATTAATCAGAGATATGGCCATCTACTGGCATGCAACAATTCATGCAGTAGGAGGCTGGCAAAAAGGGCTTGAAAGCTTTGGGAAAAGTACTCGTCCACACATTGCAGAGGAGGAGGAGGATGATAAAGGAAGACTGTTAGGAAAGCAAGATTAGTAAACTGCTTAAGAGGTTAATTACTGCAGTACGTGCTTTTATTCTCGTCAACTGACTAAAATCAAGTTAGTATTGTATCACTCTATAAAGAGAAGGAAAGAGAAAAAGAAAGCAGCAGATGTTATCTTAAGCAGTTTCAAGAAAAGTACCAGGTTTGATCTACAGATTCTCAATTTCAAGGGAAGAAACAAGCCATGGAGGCCCAGCAGACCGAGGAGGGCACTTGGTAGTATTCCCAAAGCTTCCAAGTGCCAGCCACCTCAAGTCGCTTTATATCAACTATGAACAGTAAGGTAGGCACAGACCAAGCAGTTGGTTATACAGCTTGGCACGCAGACACCGGACGAGAGAGACTGCAGCAAGGGTTTCACGTGATCGTGTGTAATGTTCGTCCACACCTTAGTCTTCGACTTGGGGCTGCCTCCGTTCTGCCCATCATCTGAGGCATCATCGGCTCTACCAGAGTTCAGCCATTTTGTCTTCTCCCGCTGCTGTTTCTGAAAACTGTGTCTGAGAGGGGAACAGGTGCCTGAGTCACCGTCACTGCCAAAGGAGTAGCCAGTGACGCTGGCAGGGATCTCTACATCACTGTACTTTTTGGCCTTGTCTCGCAGTGCAGGACATCGGTAAGGGTAGCCAGTTCTATAGCCCTATGAATAGGGAAGGAAAAATAGAAAATCAGAGGCAAACTTCTAGAATTTCATTTGTATACTACTGTGTATAGCTATGCAAGAAGTGCGTTTCCCTGTTTTAGGCTGGGTTCACACCTAGGCGTATCGAATATGTGTTTGTCGCGCGCTTCGTGGTAAAAAAAACGTGCGACAAACATGCGCTTCCGAGGGCTACCTGGCTGTGTCCCAATGGATACACGCGACAAAGAAGCTCCTGTACTTCTTTGGGCGTAGGGCGTTTTGTAGCGCGTTCATAATAATGATGTAATACGCCCAGGTGTGAACCATACCCATAGGAAATAATGGGATTTCGGTGTTTGAGCGGTTTGCAGAGCGTAGGAACGTGCTACAAAACGCCCAGGTGTGAACCGGGCCTTAGAAGCACCAAAATGTAAAAAAACCTTTGAAGCATATGTAAAGTCAAAACGTGTTTCCCATTTTGGATAGAATAGGGATGGTTTAAAACCCCTTTCAGTTTTGCTCCATTTGTGTCCCATTCAAGAGACTTCCCCTCACTAGACCACAGACCTAATAGGAAGGAAGAGAAAATCGCTTCAAAGCGCGGTTGACCACCTCTTAGCCGTTACCCTAACAGATCCTCCTAGCACAAATTTCGGAATTTTAAGGTCTCGTTCACACCCAGACGTATTGCATATGCTGTATCCCAATGGAAACGCGCAACAAAACGGCCCAAAGTAGTACCTGTACCTTTTCAGGCATGGGCCGTTTTGTAGCGCGTTAGGGACGGGCGGAAATACGCCAAGGTGGGAACGAGACCATTGAATACAATGGGATTTATATTTTTGAGTGCTTTGTAGAGCGTTCGTCGAGCATAGAACGCGCTACAAAACGTTCAGGAGTGAACGAGGGCTAAAAGTAAAAGCACCCCCCCCGCGCGCAATATTCCTGCCTGGTAAAAACTGTATATTTGGGGATTTCCAACCACTCTGTCACGATGACAATGGGCAAACGCACCAACAGGGAGGGTATATGTTCCTAGTGTAAACAGCCGTAAAATTTGACAGGGGTTCCAACCATCCCGCGATCTTCTCAAAGCTTTACACACTTAAAAGCCAATTTTAATGCAACTCGCATGCTTGCAAATATGTCTGCACCATGTACATATATCATTACAAACTATAAGGTGCATAGAAAAAAGGCTTCTTAAAACTTGGCACACTTTGATGAGTCTATTTGCATGTTCTCATTCAAATTTTATGTATCTAAAAAACATGTATACTCCTTTATATACTCCTGTAAATTCCCTTTATTTGTAAAAGGGGCAATAAGCATCTCCCTAACCTCCTACAATTTTTTTGGCATGCTCCACTTTAATCTAGTATCCTGCAATATATTAGGTACAGAAAAGCATCATAACAAAAATATATAATTTGGCAAATTTTAGTTTTTTTGGAAAATCTGAGAAAAGCCAAGTAAAACCTGGGAACGCAGTTAAGCTCTCATGTACTGCAGTTCAGCAGGTCTAAGCCGATGACTTTAGTCTACAACTTCTTCCTCTCAGTTTTCCACTTACCGTAGTGATGTGGTTATTTGATTTCTAGTCTCAATGTGGTTCTAAGCTTCATTCTACAATCTGTACTGCGCCAGCTAAGATTTATCAGACTTCTAAGGCATGGTAAAAGGCATGTAGAACCGTGGACAAATGATTCACAATCACTGCAACGTTAACCTACCAGGTTGTCCAGCATTCTCATGAGGGCTTCAAACTCCTGCTCCCCAATAAGCCACTTTGGGTGCGTCACTCCTTCTCCAGATGGTGACTCAGGTGCTCGTGATTTCTTGTATTTTCCGGGGTCTAGTAGTACTAAGTTGTCTGGACCTCCTGCACTGGCCAAGGTGCGTACCTTGAGGCATAAAGAGATTGAATTAGCTGCCATAACAATATACCGCGGAGCATGCACAGTAAGTCAGAGTAGGTTTATAACCATTACTATATTTACACTGTTTCATTTGCATACAGCGTGCATAATAAGGCACACATATATGTGTAAACAGAGTTCGCTTTTGTGTTTTACATTAAACTGTAGGTCAAAAGGCGTGAATCGGCCACATAGAAAAGAATGGAATATCTGCTTGATGTTCATTTCCATGCTGCAAAAAACGTTCTGCAAAAAACGTTTTATCTGCATTTCAAATCTAAAGTGCATTTATAGGCAACAAGAGAAAGCATACATTGAGCTCTACTAATACTATCCAGTTAACACAGCAACTGTGGTAAAGTCACACGATCAGTGTACACTAATCAGAGTTCAATTTAATCCCCAGCACACAGCTTCCTACAAGATCGGTAGCACTTGCTGAAGCCTGTGCAGTGTAGCTTATTCTGCTTCCTGCATCACTAATCTGATTGAAATGTCAAAGGAAGGTGTAAAACTGACTGGTGGCTTTGAGGAACGCTTTAATACTTCCATTTATGTTTACATTAAAAAAAAAAAAGGCTAGGGGCAGTGAAGTGACCAAGAAAGCAGGATGACTTTAGACATTGCCCCCCACTGCAAGTCACTCATCTTTTAGGTGAGCACCACTGCAACAGATATAGGAGGAGGTGCTGAACTCTACACAGAGGACATCTACAGCTATAATAACAGCAGGGTAAAAGAAACAGGTGAATTCTACAAAACAAACCCTTTCCTCACCTTTATCTGACATCCCAAAATGCAGTGATAGCATGCTAAAAACAACCAAATATAACCAAACAATGCACATTTTAGCATGTCAATCATTAGGTTTTGGTATGTCGGGGAAAGGTGAGGGGAGGGTTTAGAGCGCTGTGTTTCATTAAACTGTGCACAGAGCTGCTAGATACATTGATATAGGTACCATTAGTGCGGTTTATTTGGGTAAATAAAAAGTCGTGTAGCACAAAAACAGAGATCCTGAAATTAAAAGTGACACTAAACTCAGGGTGCTTGAATGCATTTTTTGAGATTTATTTAACAAACAGGTATCCTATTTGTGTATCACTCGGCTGTAGTTGCTCAGGTCTCTGAATTGGTGCTGACACTGTCCTTCCTTCTGGAGGGTGGCTACTTTTGTTCCCCATGGTCTCTGTGTGTGTTGTAAAGTAGCCACCGCTCAAAGCTTACTCCTGTGATTCACTACAAATGATTAAACTAAACATGAGATTGTAAACCATCACAGGAGTGATCTTGGAGCGGTGACTACTTTACAACACACACAGGGACCATGGGGAAGAAAAGTAGCCACCCTCCAGAAGGAAGGACAGCGTCAGCACCAATTCAGAGACCTGGGGATCTACAGCTGAGTGATAAACAAATAAGATTTAACTCCTGAGTTCCGTGTCACTAAAGATTTTTGGTGGGGGGCCCGCTATAGCAAAAATAAAAACGTAATGTATGCTGTAAAACTAAGGTTGCCAGGATGCCTACCTGCCAGCCCAAAGTTATGTGTTTTCCTAGAAATGCAGATAAGTACATATATTACAATATTTGGTGCTTTATTTTCTGCTATTTCCTGGGATGATTTATAAAAGCGTTAGTTATTTTTTGGTTAACTTTAAACTTGTTTTGAGAAAATTCCAGGCTATGTTTTCTAACTCGGTGGTCAAATTTATGACATGTCTTCATTCTTCTTCTTAAAACAAGCCTTAGATATTAGACTGTTCATCTTAACATGCAAGCTATGAGCGCTTGACTGTGATTAATATCTACAGTGGAGAGCGAGGACAGCCAGACACCCCCCAGTGCTGGCCTAATCCCAGCTTATGTAAATGGGGTTGGCCAAAAACCCAACACAGGTTATTGAAGGTTCCCAGACATCGATCAGTTGGGGGTGTCTGCTGCATGCCATAAACATGGTCATCTTACAATCTGGCCAAAATACTTGAATTTCTTTTGGTGTAAAAAGGCAGAGCTGCGTTTCAAGCATCTTAATTTCTGCCAAAAAAACCCCCAAAAAACGAACATTACAGGTAGCGCCAAAAGCGGAACTAAGGTTTAGGACAATATCTAAATGTGAAAATAATAGATCCTGTGATTGGTATCAAGGTCAGACCTGCCAATCATATCTACATTAACACTACTAGGTTTTTGAGAGGTAATAAAGTTAATCCAAGTCCAGTCACCACGACCCCGCCCCCCGAATATTTACTTACCTGAATTTCACAGGCAGACACAAGATTGTGTATATAATAGAAAGCTTCTTCCACTGTCTCTCCCATAGTTACCAGTCCATGGTTTCGGAGAATTAGTACCTGGAACAAACCATCGGCTCACATTTTATTAAAACGTACACAAGGGAGGAAGAAAATGAATAAAGTGACATGAAGCAAGCACTCACTTTGCTTCTAGGACCCAAGTTCTTTTGAATTAATACTTTCTCCTCTTCATCAACTAGTATGCCATGATAGTCATGATATGTCACCTCCCCTAGACACAAGGATTCTGGAGACAGCGGCAACAAGCCACATTTCATGGCAGACACCTAGAAGATATAAAAGGTATGGGAAATGTAACTATTCAAAAACAAGACAAACATCACTAGAGCGCATAGCACAAACTAGTAAAACTGGATTAAAGAAAGACACGTGCCTCACTTTTTGACCTAACTATTGACCGGCATGATCGCTGCATTGGGGGAGAGGATGCATAATCTCCCAATAGCTATATAATGTGACCTTGGTATGTGCTGCATGCTATCACCTATTAATGCCAGTCAATACTTTTTTTTCTTCTTCTAATGACCAGTTCACTTTAAAAGTTTTAATGCGATCCTAAATCAATAGTACTTTGACCCCATATGTTTAACCAACCATCCAAGATGACTTCATCCCAAATGACTTCTCCGCCACATAAGCCAACAAGAGATTTGCTAGCATTTCCCCCTTTCTACCACTGAACACAGGTGACAGTCCCCGCTAGTGGATGTAATAATGTAAATAAAGCAATGCAAAATAGAATGGGGGGGGGCATGCTTTATGAAACTAGTAGTAAACATCAGGCTACTCTTCTTTTTATTGTTTTACAGCAGTTATCAAGCGGCTTTGTATTTAGTGGAAACATAAAGGCACTTTTTGCAATGAACACACAAAAGGAGCACCGCTCCTCCACAAGAAAGAATGAGATGTGTGCATGCCAGCACTTCCTCGCTCCAATGAGTCCATATAAACAGAAGGATTCCGCTGGGATAGTTTAGTGAAACTTGTACCACATCACTGGTGTCCCTCCCCTCTGACGTGTTTCACGCAATCACAAGCTTAGTCTTTTCTTCTGTTTGTATGGTCACTTTTTGCAAATATTTCTATTTATTTAAGGCATTTAAATACAGTCTTTGTGACCAATGTCTTGGTACTTGTTCCCAATTTGCATAATAGATTATTTTGGCATTTTCATAAAAGAAGCCAAAGCCAGAGAATCTTATTGGATTGATTTCAGAAAACGAATTGTGGAATATACCCGAGTAGCCTTCCATACTCACAGCAGCACCAGCAGGGGTGTGGATATGGACGATGCATTTTATGTCAGGTCGTGCAGCATATATGGCAGAATGCAATGTGAAACCAGCTTTATTCACTCCTAGGTTAGTACTGCCGCGGTCAATCATTTCACCTTGAAGATTGATTTTAACCTGAAAACACAAAAAACATATATACACACATGAACAGGAGGTCTTCAATGACGGGAATGTTTTGCACGTTTGCTTCAGCCAGACTAATCAGCTATAATAAACACAATGTGAATAGCGCCCTCTCAAACAATATATGATCATCACCCCAAGCAGATCCTTTTCCTGCTCACCTACAGGCAAAAGGCTTTACGTTTGTAAAATAAATAGTGACAGTGTGTAACATGCCATGTGTTGTTGTATTTACGCCATGGTACATGTTATCCGACTGGAGAGCATTACTCATCCCAGCCACAGTACATGTTATCTAACTGCAGAGCATTCCCCCTCATCCCAGTCACTGTACCCCGTTATCCGACAGCAGATCATTCCTCCTCATCCTAGCCACTGTACTATGTTATCTGACTGCAGAGCATTCCTACTCCTCATCCCCAGCCACTGTACCATGTTATCTGACTGCAGAGATTTGTAGTCCTCTGTAGCAGACAGTATTATTCTGCATTGATATATAATGTAGTGCTGGGATTTGTAGTCCCCCTACAGCTTGGAGTCAGTGGCACCACTGTCCTGAAATATTTAGTCTGCATTGCTTTAGGAAAATGGTCACATGGCACGACGAAAAAGGTATCGTAATTGATATCGGTGAGTACTTGAGGAAAAGTTAAAAAATCGGTACTCGTAGTCGGTCTGGACAAAATGGGATCTGTGCATCCCCAGAAAAAAAAAAAAAAAGTACAATTCCCCATCGTGCCCTTTACAAAAACACGGCACAAATGACACCAATGCATACAGAAGATACTTACCAGGTTAGATGCCGAAACTTCACTGTACAGGAGTCCAAAGGGAACAATCAGGAAGTGTTCTTGTTCTGAACTCACTCTGCCCTATACCAAACACAGAACAGAAGGTCATATGTATTGCACTGCCCAAAGGACTCACTCACATGTGTATGATCAGGTCTTACTCAAAATACGTTATTGGCATATATTATCCAGAACAGTTTACATGGTAATGTACATTAAAAGAAAGCCTCTATGGCCAATTATAAGATACTATAGCGTGGTCAAACTTTAATGCATGCCATTGTTTGATGTTTGGTGGTCCTCTTTTTTTTTTTTTAGGATCCTTCCCTGGCCACACAGACAAAACCATGGTTATTTTTGTGCTGAACACTTTAAAGTAGAACTATGGCCTCCCAGAAAAAAATAAAAAGGATAGGTGCCGCAGCACTTAATTCGTGTATCTGCACAGATCATGCATCATCCAGTGTTGTTTTAGTACTAGTCCCACAATACCCATTGATGCATACAATGAAGTTCACCTAATGCAGCTTCCTGTGATGGGGTGGCAACAATGCTGCACTGCTCCTGAATTCAGAGCAAAGTTGCCACTCTCATGTAGGCTGTGCCTGTTACACTACTACCTCTTACACTACAGTGGGCTGAGATGTTACAGGATTTTCACTGTAACTTGTCAAGCAACACCTGATCACACCTAGTCCCGCCCACTGCTTTCTCGATTGACAGCACTGTCTGTTGCTGCAACCCTCCCGCTGTGAGCTGCAGTGTCTGGGAGGGGGGAGCATATGAGACACAAGGGAGGATCTGGCTCAGTCAGGGAAGGTAAAGAAGTTTTTTTTGTATACTTTGAGCCTTGTGCATGACATAGCAAGTGAACATCATTCTTAAGACAAGCCTTTAGTTCAGCTATACGTTAAACAAGTTTGAAGATAATATCAGTCACAAAAGTTCTGTTTCCATTTGGTCTGCAACAGATTGCAGAGCTAACAAAATGCCGCAGTAATATAGGTGATGGACCGTAAGAAAGGAGAGAATAAACCCAGTAAAAAGATGACGACATCTCACTTATTTTCCTGCTCACAAGTCCATGTGAATACTGAAAAAAGAGCAAGTGTGAATGTTTCATGGCAGTGGATGGAGATCTGTCTGTACTCATGGCCCCGGCTTTTACTCTCTCAGCAAGGTAAAATAAACAAAAAATATCAAGAATAAGTACACAGGTATGGGAATTAAATCTGCATTGCCAAAGAACAGAACTTCCTACCCATTACTCCAGTTGCATCATTCATTATGTCTGTGATATGTAGACTGTAAATGTCTTTGCAGTGACCTAGAAAGATCTTGCCTCTGACAGAAGAATGTGAGTGATGGAGCTTGTGCACAGCAGGCAATGTTTTCATTTCATTTATATTGCTGGCTTTGTTCTCACATGTTGTTCTGTCATGGGGACGCTCTTGCTTTAGCCTCATGAAGACCTTTAAAGCTTCGCTGGCAGAAATCCAGGTTGTAAAAGAATAATTCTAGATCCTTTATGATCATTTCATACTCTTACCAACTCTTTATAGCTCTGTATCTGACCAAAAGGTATGCTAAGGTGAACTGGGAGGAGTGTCAGTGTGACCGGCAGATTCACCCATTTTACCTGAACAGTTATGGACCTTGGTTGTAACAACTGATTACAAAGACATTTATTGATTATAAGCGTTATATTGTGACGTACCTGGGTTGGATTAATTCTAAAAGCCAGGTAAGCAATGTGCCTAAAATCTGTATCCAAATGTATTTTTTTGCCAAGGAATAGTTCATGTCCCCTGGCGGTTTTAAAAGAATTTTCTGGTTTCCAAATAAATTCTCAATTCCATAAATGTAGCCTTGCCTGTCAATTCTAGTGACAATAAAGGGCTTCCCAGAGGTACTCTGCCAATTACTGCACCATGTTTTGGATGAAAAGCACATGACGATGCTCAGTATGTATTTGGAATGCCACCTATGGTCATGTGACCTCTCCATCCAATAATGCAGATGGTCCCTTCATGAGCAATTCTGTTGTGTGGAATGGTATCAATGAAAATAGTATATATAATGTTGGGGGGTTTTACGTCATTTTCAGGCCTAAAATGTGGAATATAACATGGGTGCAAAAATGGAAAAAAGGGCCTCAGTCATGAAGGGGTTAAAGCAGAACTCGGGGTATAGTATAGTATAGGGTATACTCACCTGATCCTCGGAGCCGGCTGGCTCTTAGACCAGTTCCTGGAGCCTCTCTCCACCTCCACAGCAGTGGTCTAAGGATGCTCGAGTCATCACATTCTATATAGAGTGTGCAGGTTGTGAAGATTCGGAGGGAAATACCAACGCTGCTGCAGTGGAGGAGGAGACAAGCTTGAGGGAGCACGGTCACAGCTGTCCAGATGCGAGGTTTGGGTGAGTATAACGTTAGACCAAAAACGAGCACTTCATCCTTGCAGTGTAGGGGTAGCCCCACTGCAAGGGTTGGTAATGGAAGTAATCATTTATTTTTATAACGGTCAGACATCCTCCATGGTTGGCAGTAGGAAAGAAAAAAAAAAAATATAGGAGCATTTAAAAAACTAAAACATGAATAAAGAATGATCATATACCACTGGTCATACATCCATTGGTATATGTGAGGTTATGTTATAACTGGGATCACTATGTCGCCATAAGAAAGGGACCCTTGATGGCGCATGTAACATGATGTGCTAATCAAAGCAACGCTTTACGCATACAAGTCCAGTGCTGGTGGTTTTCACTTCTGTTATGGACTGGAGTAACCCACACAATATATACAAGTGCTTGATAAAGATGGGAGAATAGGGCACATGAGGGCTCTTTTCTTACTTATTGTAGAAATTATTGAATGTCCTCATCTGTCAGATCTGAACATGTGCACCTCCCTTTCCATGCCATGTTCTTTCAGAACAGGATCTAGCAGCTTAATACTCACTGTAATGTGATTGTAGATCAGCTGGGACCATCCAAACAGATCAGCTAATCGATAAAACGCGGCTAGTTTACAGCGAAGCAGCTTTTCCCCCTTTTCATAAGCAATGGAGTCAGATCCTCTGAGATCATTCACAGGCGTGACCATTCCCAAACCTGAGGGGGGAAAAAAAAAGCGCAATACAGGTTACAAAAAAAAGATCATATTCCTCCAAAATACTCTTCACATTAAAAAAAATTATTTAATAGAGATAGATCATGGGTAGGATGGAGCTTGTACATCAGTGGAGACTAAAAGATATGTAAAATAGTATTTCATTTAAAGAATTCAAGGAAAAAAATGTATTAACCTTGCAGCGAGGCTACCCGCATACTGCAAGGGTTAACTGCTTGTTTTTGCGTAGAATAATACATACCGTATATACTCGAGTATAAGCCGAGATTTTCAGCCCATTTTTTTGGGTGAAAAGTGCCCCCCTCGGCTTATACTCGAGTCAGCGCCAGCGCGTCATCTTACTTACCTCGCCGAGCGTCGCGTCACTGCTGCTCCGGTGTGCGGCACTCCGTGCGGGGTCATCTGGCAGTCTCCGGGTCCTAATTTAGGTGGCCGGAGACTGCCAGATGACCCCGCTCGGAGCGCCGCACACC